TGGCGGCCGGCGAGGCCGCGCTGCGCCGCCCCGCGTTCACGGAACAGAGCCAGAGCCTGCGTGGACGGTCTCTGTAGGCCAGAGCCATTGTTGAGGGGTTAGTGCAGTCCTGGGCAGGCCCCGGCGTGGTCCGGGGGTGGCGCGGCCACCGTGTCCTCTGAGCAGGGGTCTGTGGTGCGCTCAGGTCCCGCTCCTTGGCACCGTCAGCCTGCCCACCCAGGGAGGACGAAGCCGGCCGGGCGGCCGTGGCAACCACGGCGGGGGGGGCGAGTGCGTGGGCACCTCTGGCCACGGCTGGTTCTGGGAGAGCGGCCCTGGGCGGCCCCCGCACCCCACCGTTGCGCCAGGTTTCGAGCTCCCCGCAGACCACCAAGGAGCCGACGCCGCTGCGAAGCCACGAGGGTCTGTATGTGCTGCAAGCGTGAGCCTGGGCTCCCAACACCCCGACGCAGCGGCCGGAGTTCAGGGCAGGCAGGGTGTTTACTGCAGGAGCGGGGAGTTCCAGCCTGGCCGCCTGGCAGCGGGGAGTCCAGCCCAGCAGTACACTGATTGGTGGACACTGAACAGAGTTGTCTCGTCTGAACCCGGCTGGTCTCTGCACGTAAGATGTGACCTTCGCCGCTCGCCGCTCGCCCGCACACCTTAGGACACCTGGCGTTTTCCTGATAGGTACCGGTCACTTGCTAATTGGCTGCTGCTATGGGATGAGCAAGATCAGGACATGGACAGTTACACTCGGCCTTGGCGCCTGCTGATAACCGAAACCCAGGCCTGGCTGCTTCAGAAGCCTTCTGAGCCTGGCATGGGTCAGTTTGGTCCCTCACCCACCTCCGGCGGAGCGGGGCCTGGGCCAGCAGCGTCAGCGCCGCCGTTCTGCTTGGGGTAAGAAGGGTGAGCAGACCCGGCCCAGGAGCGGCCCGTAGCACCGCCCTGAAGCCGGGGCTCCGCCCTTCCCCATGGTACCGTGGGGTCTCGCCTCTGCGTGTCTCTGTCCTTGCCGCCCTCGCCGCCCTGGGTGGCCTACCGCGGGCCGCCGGTAGGGTGTGGTGGTCAGAGGTGCCACCGCTGGCCTGGGCTGGCCTGGGTGTGTGAAGGCTGCGGTGCTGGGCACCTGTTCGCCTGGCGGGAGTCAGCGGCCGCGGCTGGGGGAGCGCTGGGGGGACTTGGCCTGGGCGAGGCTGCAGCGTCCTCTGCTGTCGCTGGGGGCGCTGTGGGCACTCGGCCTGCGGGGCGGGGCCTGAGCCCCGCAGCCGGAGTGCGGGTGGGCCGGGAGGCCTCCGCCGGCCGTGGCCTCCCTACCCGAGGAGGCCTGCTGCAGCCAGCCGGCCCTGCCCCTGAGATGGTCCAGTGGCCAGCGCGCAGCCCCGCTCGGCCCTGGGGCGGCCGGCTCCCGGCGGAAATGCCGGCCAGGTCCTGCGTCTGTGCGGTGGCTGCCCGCGGGCTAGCCGGCCTGCTTCCCGGGCAGCCGCTTCCTGCACCCTCGGGCGCCGCGGCACTGCCCGGCCCTGGCCGCCGCCCGTCCTGGTCTCTGCTTCTCCACCGGCCTCGTCCTGGAGCCGAGCCTTCCACTGTCCCCAGCTCTCTCATCGGCGTCTCTCCTTAAGGGTTCAGTATCTGCTCGGCCAAAGACGCTCTTGGCGCACTCTCGTTGCTGAGATTTATTTTCACGATCTCGCGCCCGGTGCTGGCAGTGACCGCCGAGGTTGGCTGCAGAGAGGAGAACAGCTGTTGGCACAGCTGCTTGGATTTGGCGGGAGCCTCTTCTGCGAACTGGGCTGGATGATGCGTTTCGGGGGGCGCGGTCTCGGTCGCGCGCTCTGGGGACCTTGGGCGCTGCGGCCCCCCTAAGCCCGCTGTCTTCTCTGTTTCAGGCGCTCCCCGCCGGAAGCCATGGTCTGCAGGTAGGAGGCGTGACCTCGTGGCCGCCCCCGAGGATGGAGAGATAAGACTCCGCCCAGCGGCCCGCGCCACCGAGAGCCGCCGCCCCGGCGGGCGGGCCTGAGTCCCGGACATGGAGCACCACCGGGAGGCGGAGATGGGGCTGCGGAGGGGCCCCAGCCCGCCCCGGGCCGGCAGGAGCCCCGACGCGGACGGGGACCGGGCGCTGAGCCACAGCTGCTGCATCTGCGGGAAGAGCTTCCCCTTCCAGAGCTCGCTGTCGCAGCACATGCGCAAGCACACGGGGGAGAAGCCCTACAAGTGCCCGTACTGCGGCCACCGCGCGTCCCAGAAGGGCAACCTGAAGATCCACATCCGCGGCCACCGTACGGGGACCCTGGGCCAGGGCCGCGAGCCGGCCGCCGGGGAGCCGCGCGCAGCCGAGGGCCTGGGCGGCTGCGCCAGCCCCACCGAGAGCACGTCCGCCTGCAGCCAGATCCTGAACGGGGCCTCGCCGGCGGGCGGCGGCAAGATCCTGCTGAGGAGCAGCAGGAAGGAGGCCGAGGGCGCCCCGGAGGAGGGCAAGGCGGCGCCGGCCCCGTGCGCCTTCTGCAAGAGCAAGTTCCCGCGCAGGAAGGACCTGGAGCAGCACATGCAGCAGGCGCACCGGCCCTTGGCCTGCCGGCTCTGCAGCTACGTGGCGCCCCGCGAGGAGGCGCTGCTGAGCCACGTGGAGAAGGAACACGTGACGGCGCTGGGGCCCCCGGGGGGCGCGGGCGCGGCCGCGGAGAACGGCAAGCCCGAGCTGCCGCCCGGCGAGTTCCCCTGCGAGGTGTGCGGCCAGGCCTTCAGCCAGACCTGGTTCCTGAAGGCGCACATGAAGAAGCACCGCGGCTCCTTCGACCACGGCTGCCACATCTGCGGCCGCAGGTTCAAGGAGCCGTGGTTCCTGAAGAACCACATGAAGGCGCACGGCCCCCGGCTGGGCAGCAAGGGCAGGCCTCGCGGCGAGCTGGACCCGGTGGCCACCATCAACGACGTGGTGCAGGAGGAGGCCATCGTGGCCGGCCTGTCGCTCTACGAAGTCTGCACCAAGTGCGGGAACCTGTTTACAAACCTGGACAGCTTGAACGCGCACAACGCTGTCCACCGGCGCGCGGTGGCCAGCCGGACGAGGGCCCCGGGCGCGGCGGGCGCCGCCCCCGCCTCGCAGCGGCTCTTCCTCCAGTGCCTGAACCTGCGGCCCGCGGGGGCGGCGCCGGCCCACAGTCAGGCCGGCCGGCGGGTGGCCGAGCTGGACCCGGTCAGCAGCTACCAGGCCTGGCAGCTGGCCACGCGGGGCAAGGTGGCCGAGCCGGCCGAATACCTCAAGTATGGCGCCTGGGATGAGGCGCTGGCCGGGGACGTGGCCTTCGACAAGGAGCGGCGCGAGTTCGTCCTGGTGACCCAGGAGAAGCGCAAGCGTGAGCCCGATCCGGGCGCGCCGGGGCCCCCGCGCAAGAAGGCGGGCGTGCCCGGGGACC